ATTCATAAAATCAATATCAGAAAACATAATAAAACCTCCAATATTTATATTAACAAGATACCAAAGACTGCAATTGTGCAGTCTTCGTGGGTTTAATTAATATATAATTATATTATATATTAGTAGGTAGCAGAGAATTCTTAGGTGTTATCTATATATCGCTGCTTAATAGTCCTCATCCATGTCGATTTGACCACGGTGACGTAATGCGCGTACATCAAATATACCTTCAGTATAGGAAGAATCCATTCCTGCATTGTCAAAGAAACCAGTATTCATATTCATAAAATCAATATCAGAAAACATAATAAAACCTCCAATATTTTAATAGAAAAAGAGTACAAAGACTGCAACTGTGCAGTCTTTGTAGATTTAATTTATGTGCCATTAACCTCTGTTGGAATAATAACGATAATTATTATTAGGAGGCATAAAAATCAAAGTGGGATCACCATCGGCTGCCGCTTCATAATAAGAGGAAGAATCAATATTCATAAATCAATATCAGAAAACATAATAAAACCTCCTATATTTCAATGTCAATGGGTGGCATATCATGGAAAAAGCGTTGTGATGCAATGTTGCCTTCACATTCATCGTATTCAGATACATAATTTTCAGCAGATAATTCCGAACCCGTAGTCCCATCAGTAGGTTCTGAATATAAGCGAGATGTAGTTGATTGCTGACCGAGCTTTTTCCATACCTCAGCTATATTGGCGTCTTTTAACCAGTCCAATATTTGAGCGTCACTGACATTACATTTTTTTGGCGTATTCATATTTTTTAGACAATATATCGCACTGTCTACAAAAATTTTTTGTACTGAACCTAAATTTGTCATTTCACTACTCATAATAAAACCTCCTATATTTTAATAGAAAAAAAAGAGTACGAAGACTGCAACTGTGCAGTCTTTGTAGATTTAATTTATGTGCCTAGTTTAATGATTAGGCCTCCATGGAGGCCTAATGACATGAAAAATATTATCATTATCGAATGAAGTATCCTTTGTCGTCTCCGTAGTCATCTCCATCTCCATCGTCTACGTTCAATATACCCCCAGTGTAGTAACCTAAGCTTTCAAACTTTCAAAGAAATCAGCATTCGTAAGATCAAAATTATCAAACATAAAAAACCTCCAATATTTCAATGTTAATGGGTGGCATATCAGGGAAAAAGCGTTGTCATACCACTTTAAAGATCTCTATTCTCTATCTCCCATATCTGCTGGCGCACGCGGCGTAATGTCGCCTTCCTCTCCATCGTCGTCTACGTTCAATATACCTCCAGTGTAGTAACCTAGGCTTTCAAAGAAATCAGCATTCGTAAAATCAAAATCACTCATAATAAAACCTCCAATTAAAAGGAATTGTTTAATTCTATACTAAATTTGTTAATTTATTGTTAATTTGGTTAATTAATTAACCAATATTAAGTAGTCAAATAATTAAATTAATAGAGTACAATATATTTTACAGTTTTATATTGTTAAGATAATGCAGCTAAATTTTAATATTTTGTTCTTAGATCTATATTCTCGTGATGGATTGATCAAATTAGATCAGGCATTTTTACATTACATAAAATCACACAACGAAGATTTATTTTCTTCATTAACTGTGGCAAGAAAAGAAAAAAGTGGGCGATAGTCAATTAATAATCGATCTCTCATATTTACTTGATGAATTTGTTGCCAAGCTTTTCAACGTTGAAAGAGAAGTAGAGCAGTTAAAGAAAAAACATAGTGATTTCGCCATCGTATATAAGTGTAAAAGGCTATTTGTGCAACGCTATGCATTGAGGAAATACACAGATGTGGCAATAGATATTGACTATGTTATAGGTAAATTAAGTCGTTTTTTTTACTTTACCAATAACAGACAAGAAATTTGCTGAACAGGCCATGTATTGGTTTGAAAATAAGGAAAAATATGAGGATGAAGTAGAACTTGCAGCGCAATATGCAGCATGGAGGGTAAAAAATAAAGTAAGCATATTGTTTAGTGTGCATAGGAAAATTGATCATGAAAATCTTGTATCATTTTCTAAAAAAGAGGTTGATAAAATTGAAGTGTTGTATTCAGATGAGATAAAAGGACGCTATGGTTTTGATCTCACAAGTGAGAAGACTAGTTTAGATAAAGCATTAGATAACGTTAACTACTGCATATTTTGCCATAAACAAAATAAAGATAGTTGTGCAAAAGGACTTAGTAATAATAATACTTTTAAAAGATCTCCACTTGAAATGGAATTACATGGTTGCCCTCTAGAGCAAAAAATATCAGAAATGAATATGGTGAAAAGTGAGGGATATAGTATTGCAGGTCTTGCAATTGTGATGATAGATAATCCATTATGTGCTGCAACGGGTAACAGAATATGCAATGACTGCATGAATTCGTGCATATATCAAAAACAAGAACCTGTAAACGTGCCAATGATCGAAACTAAAATCTTGGATGACGTACTTGGTTTACCTTATGGATTTGAAATATATTCCCTGCTTAGCCGTTGGAATCCTTTGAATTTTCAACGTCCATTGCCAAAAAAAAATACAGGAAAAAATGTTTTAGTGGTTGGTCTTGGGCCTGCAGGGTTTAATCTAGCATATCACTTACTGAACGATGGACATAATGTCGTTGCTATTGATGGATTAAAAATTGAGCCGTTGATTGATAATTTTCAACCTATTAGAGACTTTAAGTATGAAAAAATTGAGTGAACGTATAGCTGATGGATTTGGTGGAGTCGCGGAATATGGCATTACTTCTAGATGGGACAAAAATTACTTGAAAATAATTAGATTATTGCTGCAAAGATGTAAAAATTTTGCCCTTTATGGAGGCATTCGTTTTGGTGGTACAATCACTGTAAATGATGCATTTTATCTAGGATTTGATCATGTTGCTTTAGCACTTGGTTCAGGTAAGCCTCGAATGATAAAAATAAAGAACATGCTGGCTAATATGGCATCAGACTTCTTAATGTCATTGCAACTAACTGGTGCCTTAAGATCCGATTCTATAGCAAACTTGCAAGTCCGTATGCCTGTGGTGGTTATAGGTGCAGGGCTTACTGCAATTGATACAGCAACAGAGGCACTAGCGTATTATCCAGTGCAGGTAGAAAAAATTTTTGTCGCGATATGAAATATTGATTGATAAATATGGCAAAGATTACATTGAAAAAAATTGGACAGATGAGGAACGTGAAATTGCAGGTGAGTTCATATCACATGCAAAGTTAATTAGGGAAGTTGCAAAAGAAGAGGGAAGGGAGCGGAAAATAGTGAAGTTAATGCAGAATTTGGGAGGAGTTAAGATTGTATATAGAAAAGAGTTAAGGGATTCGCCAGGCTATCGACTAAATAGTGAAGAGGTACAAAATGCGTTGTCAGAAGGAGTATATTTTATTGAAAATCTAGAACCAATTGAAATTGTTGCAGATAAATATAACAATGCTGAGTATTTGAAACTAGTCAATAAAAAATCTGGTGAAATAAAACATATCAAAGCGCGTTCCATTTTTATAGCAGCAGGTACTGAACCAAATACAATTATTGCAACTGAAGATAGGGAACACTTTAAATTAAAGGATGGGTACTTTACTCATCTAGATTCATCAGGAAAAGAAGTGGATCAGGTATTCTCTCCTAAAATGCAGAATAAAGATAGGATATTAGCTTACAAGCAAGGCAATAAAATAATTAGTTTTTTTGGTGACCTGCATCCATCATATAGCGGTAGTGTTGTAAAAGCTATGGCAAGTGCTAAGAATGGATACCCTATTATTTCTCAGCTTTTGAGTGAAATAAGTGATAAAAAGACAAAAAGTAGTGAAGAATTTTTTGCTGAAATCAAAGAGCAACTTACTGCAAAAGTTATACAAGTGCAATATTTAACTGACACAGTGGTGGAAATAGTGATTAAAGCACCACTTGCTGCTAAAAATTTTCAACCTGGACAATTTTTTAGACTACAGAATTTTGAAACCAACAGTAAAAGAAATAATAATACACAACTTGCTATGGAAGGCATAGCTGTCACTGGTACTGAAGTAGATAAAGAAAAAGGCATAATCTCTACTATTGTACTTGAAACAGGAGGTTCTACTAATTTGTGCAAATTCTTAAAAGAAGGTGAATTAATAATTCTTATGGGTCCGACGGGCAGTCCAACTGAGATTTAACATCAATCAACATATTTGCATACTGTTCAGCTTCTGAGTTAAGACCAAGGGCTGAATGAGCTGTTACTAAATAGTTAAGAGATTGAGATAAATAACTAGAATTTTTACTATTTATTACATTCCGAAAACGCTTTATTGCTGCCAGATATTCGCCACGTCTAAAATAGAATTTACCTGTGGAATACTCTTTTTTTGTTATATGTTTTGTAACTAGTTTTATTTTTTCTTTTACATCACCTACATATTCACTTTGTGGAAAGAGATTAGTATATTCTACAGCTAGTTCTAGAGTTTTGTGAGCAGTTTGCTGGCCAAGCTGTACCTTACCAATTTGCATATAGTAGGATAATATTCTCAAGTAATATGTATACGATAGGTCAGTGCTGTTGGGATAAATATATATATATTCGTCCATACTGTTTGCAGCACTACTATAATCCCCCATGTTATAACTAGATATGCCAGATAATAGTTTTGCTTGCATTGCCCAATAGGAAAGGGGATATAAGTCTTCAACGCTTTGCAGAACTCTAATAGCTTGTTTATATTTTTCTTTATTAAAAAGCTTAACTGCTTCTTCGTACAGTTCAGTCTCGCTTTTTTGAATAGGATTTGCGTATAATTGTATGGACAGACAAACTAATAAGATAAAACATATAATTCTATGCATAGACTGTATAAGACAAAATAAAGTATAGACTTAAATATTATCTAAACAAATAAATTTTTACTATCATTACGCACGTGACTACAGTCAGTGTCGTCCATTTTACTCATAGGTTTAAGTGTAGCAATACTGCCAAATACCAGCGCAGATGCAAAAGCTATTCCAATTATTGCTAGTGTAGGCAATGTAGTAAAATATGTAAGCATTGATGCGGTAATAATGGTAGCAGCAGAAGCTACAAGTATTACTATTTTATATGTTCCTCTAGCTTCATTAGGCTGTGATGGCAATTTTATTTTTGGCACTTTTCTCAAAGGCAGCCAAGGGTGTTTTCTTGTTTCATCATGAGTAGGTTGTGTCTGTGCTTCTGAAGTGATAGGTTGCTCATCAGAAAGATTTTCCTCTAAGGTACTGTTTGGTAGTGGGATATCTACAAATGATGTGTGTGAATCGTCAAACTTAGTAGGTTGCTTGTCAGAAAGAGATTCACTTTCACTTGCAGTAGTATAATTACTTGTATTTTCTAATGAGGTATCTGTAGATTGCTCATCAAAAAAGGTCTGCACCTTCTCTCGTAGTAATAGCATCGCTAGTTTCTAGAGAGGTACCTGCGAATAATTCATACTGACCATTATAATGCGAAGTTTCTTGATTGGTATCTTTAATCTCAA